AATTTTTCCTTTACAGATACAGGTACTTTCCTGGCTGGGAGAATCACTGGCTGACAAACCAAATCAACTTGCAGATGAACCTTTCCAGGTAGCTTGCCAAGGCCATTCTCAAATACATCTGGGTATTTGTTAGTAAGATCGTTTTCTAAATTCTCCAGAACGTTAACAGAGTTCTCGTTGTCTACGGTTAACAAACCCATCTTCTCGGTAGCGTTTAAACCCAGGAGTGGAGTTAGATTCTCCTTGACAACTAAGAATCTCACTTTATACCTTGTATTAGTTCGGGATTGACAACGGGCAGAGCACACGTCCCAGTAGGGTTGACCTTGGTGCCATTCCACATAACAAGGGACTCGGAACAAGGCTCAAGATCCGCACCTTTCACATGTTTACAAGGCACAATGTGTGCACTGGCTCCACAGTCAATTTAAAATCTCACAGGTTTCTGCTGAACCGGCATCTGAGCAAACACAGCTTTATCCTTCATAGCTTGAACTCTTACAACACTGATCTCTTCCAAGTCTTCGTCGCTCTCAAGGGCGTTAACCACGGCATCTTTGCACCCTTTCGCAAAATGATTCTTTTTCTTGCACCGCTTACACAGTTTGCCCCACACAGGAGACTTCTTTCTCTCAGGGGCATGTTCATAGCCACAAAACTTGCACCAAATTTTCTTTCCCGACTGTCTGTCCAGCGTCGGAACTCGAGGCTTCTTTTTCTTAGACTTGACCTGGTTTATGTTGTCCACCGGTCCGATAGCGACTTCATGTGCAGTGCCGTAACTTCTTTGCTATGGCAGATATCGATACACCCATTGAAAGTGAGATCTTGAATTCTCAGTAGCTTCTTGGTGGTCTGCTCATCTTTAATACCAAGCACAATGTGATCACTGATAAGACTATCACGCAAGCAGTCACAAAAGTTGCATGTCTTAGCCAACGTTTTCAGCTCAGCAACGAAACAATTGACCGACTTAGTTGAAAGCATGTCCTTATTAAAACAGTATCGCTCTTAGATCTCATTGACTTCTCCGATGTAGTGTTTCTCCATTTTAGCCATTACCACTCGCCAATTATTCGAATCCTCGCCCTCGGTGTAGCTAAATGTTTTGATAACTTTCAAAGCTTCATCGCTGATCGTGTGCAAGCTGATATTGAGAGCTTTCTCGGTCTAGCCTAGAAATAACAAAATAGTTGTTGTACTTTTCCTTCCAAAGCTTCCAGTTCTCAGCTACTTCTCCGCTGGGCCGCAAAGCAAGAGGTTGAGGCGGCGAAATTTGATGAAACATTGGAGACTGGTTCGTTGAAGGTTGAACAACTGTAGAAGAGCTTCCACTGGTTCCACTGTGGCCTTCCTCATCGCTCATGTCGCTGACAGTTTAATTTGTCGATGGCCAAGAGAAAGTACACCAATTTTCTACTCGCTGCCACCATGTAATATTATGAAGGACACCCATGGAGTAAAACAAAATACACTTTACTCGAAGTCCACACGATTGCAACTGAATGTCAAGCTATAACAGAATACTAAATAGACTGAAGCACCGCAGGAACAGGTCCCTAGAGGCACGTGCTAATGCATATTATAACAGTTTTTGGAATATTTCTGAGCGAGCGAAAGGACAAAAATAAACCATATGCGCAGTAACCACAAGATCAGGTTTCAAGACATCGTTTATTTAAAGTCGAATAAATGAAGGGTCAAAATATTACAAAATATTAGCGAAAAGAACTTAACCTAATGTGTAAAACTGACGAGAAAACAAGAACTTATATTATTTCTTTACCGTGCGACAAAATGTCCCACAGAAGCTGAGAAAATTGACTTTGCGAAAATGACTTAATTATTGACTCTTGAGGACAAAAACGAAACCAAATTGAATTTCTTGTACTATAACGGCTAATGTTTGAGAAAACAACGCAAAATAAAAGCGAAGAACTCATGTAAAAATCAATCTGAAAACAAGAAATCAAGTAATTTCTTCGCTGCGCAACGAAAATATTATGGTGCTGCGAAAGAAAGATGAAAGTCATAAATCAAAAAGACGACAAAAACAAGCGAATTATTTTGAGATCAGTCATATTTCAACTGTTAAATCAGTGGCCATTTAGTTCTTTTGTCAGTGGTTCTGTAGTAGCTGAACAAGACTCCAAAAAATATTTGAATGAAGCGAATAAACTAAATAAACAAAGCTCTTGGAGGTTGCCATAAATTAAATATGCAGAAATCCAGCATGCAAGTTAGTGTTCACTTTTAAAACCTAAAATTCCCAAATAGAGGAAACGAAATGAAAGAAATGCGAAAGGGAGTTCAATAACAATAAATTTTCATTCAAGCTGAGATGAAGAAACCCATTTAAAAGCAAAAAAATGTTCAAAATTTCAGACGTGCTTCGCTGCATGACCGCATGTTCAAATTATTCTTCACGCTAACGTGAAAGCTTGAGTTTTTGCCGACTGCTTTTGCAGTTATTTCAACGCCTGTGGCTTTACTAATCATTTCAAAAGTTGAATTCAACTTCGAAGTAATAATGTACATTACCATTTCTAACTCGTGAATTGCTCATGCGCAACACGAGTTATCGTGAGTTGTAGGAAAATGTGTCGTTCGCTCGATGGGCTGTAAACATTATGCAAATGAGGTATGCTCGCGGCTTACTTTGAAATTGCTGTTCATCTTTAATTAAAATAAGCTGTTTTTAAGGCCGAAATTAAAAAGACAAGTTAAAGAAGACTCAGCCACCGGAAATGAGAACATTGAGGATCGTAAAATCGATGAGCAGCAGAAGTTCTCACTGGATGCTGACTTCGTATGGATTTTACAGAAACTGAAGTCATCTAAGTACGGTTACGGTATGGTAAAGCACATATAGCGAGTGAAATGATATAAACACAGAGCATTTATTGTATCGCTAAAAACAATGAAAAAAGAAAGGAAAAAAAACGAACCACCTTCCACCCAGAGTCGATTGCAGAACCTCTCGCCTCGCAATGTTGTCCACTACCCCCTGTGCTATGTGAACATTACATGAATAGGAAGGAGAAAACAAACACCATAATAATTAATTAAACCGCTGATAACTCGGTGGGCTTGAGTCTGTACCAGGATTATCTGGGGGTCAATTTGTCCTTCACCGGGCAACTGTCAGTGAGTATATTTGGCGTTCGTGGATTTTTGTGACGCTCGACAGTGCCTTTTTTAAAACTTAGAGGTCATATGTGTTCATTCGTCGGAAAATAGAGTCACAACATTTGTTTTGAGGGAAGGTCTTCGTGACATGTTTTGCACCGGGGCTCTTCGCAAGCTACACACAACACAGGTAAGCTGAAACAAGATGTTTTGTTCGAGAAGCTTGGTTTCAAAGAAATCGGAGTGAATCAACGTAGTAGTTGAAGGATACATTAGTCGTCGTGATCAGCAACTGGATCTGAAGAGAGTTTAACATTCCACATTAGGCCGTTTGACTTTTTGAACATGGTGAAAGAGAAGTTGTTGAGACAGTTTGTCTTGTTATTTTTCCTTTCATTTCCTTGATGGAAGACCAGGCATCCACCCTGAACGAGAAAGGAGTCAAAGGTATAGTTTTGGGGCCAGAAAGTTCTGACACAAATTAAGGATGCTTTTGAAGGTAAATACAACCAATGTGTTTATAAAGTCGTTGCGCTTTCAAGTGGGTTTTGAATACAGATTGTGGATTTAAAGCAGATTTAAAGTGGTAATGCACAGTATTACTTCGAAATTTAATTCTAATTCTTGAACGACTACCAAAGCCATGGCTGATAAAAACTCAAGCTTTCACTTTAGCATAAAGAATTAATTTGAACATGCTGTCATGCAGCGAAGCATGTCTGCAAAATGTTGAACATTTTTTTGCTTTTAGAAAGTTTTTTTTTTGCCTCATCTTGAATGAAACTTTATTGTTATTGAACTTCCTGTCATGTTTCTTTCATTTGGTTACCTTTCTTTGGGAACTTTAGGTTTTTAAAATTAACAATATTTTTGCACTGTGGATTTCTGCATATTTTAATGACGGCGACCTCCGCGGCCGTGTTTGTTTAGTTTATTCGCTTCGTTCAAATACACTTTTTTAGTCTTATTCAGCTACTATAAAACTCCTGAGAAAAGAACTAAGTGGGCACTAATTTAGTACAGTTGAAATACGATTTGTCTCTAAATTCTTTCACTGCACTGCATTGTTTGTCGCACGCAAAATTATCTGATTTCTTGTTTTTAAATTGTACTTTAGATATGTCTTTTTGCTGTTATTTTCCAGTGTTTTCTCAGATGTCATCCGAGAATCAAAATTTTGTTGTTTTTGGATTCGTTTTGTCCTTCAAAGTCAATAATTAACTCGTTTTTGCGTGTTCAATTTTCTCGGCTTTTGTCGTGCGGCAAAGAAAAAATACAATTTCTTGTTTTCTCATCAATTATACAGCTCAAGTCTTTTTGTTGATATTTTTTAAAATTTTGACCCGTCATTTGTTCAACTTGAAATAAACTATGTCTTTAAATCTGATATTATACAGAACTCTGGTTACTGGGCATATGGTTTATTCTTCTGCTTATGCTCGCTCTGAAATATTTGAAAAAAACTCCAGGGAGTTAGGGGTAGGCTGTGAATCAGTATGTCACACCCATGTTTCGTGCCAAAAATTATACAAATTTTAAATCTGAATCCGAGCAAGCAGAACAAGTTGACTTCATTTTATAGCAGTAGAAGTCTACTTGTGGGAAGTCTATCTGGAGGTGTTCATGTGGGATGTTTTGGTCTACGTAATGCACCTATCAATGTTAAGCCGCTGGGTAGGGGGGAGGGAGGCCAGGAATAGGCGGGGGTTTTGACGTAACAAGTCTGCCCGTGGTTGGGACTTTTGATCATTCGCCGAGTCCCGGGG